CCCCCCGCCATGGGCGAAAAGTGCGGGCGACTCGGGGCGCCCCCTGTACATAGACGGGTGGAAACGTCATTTCGCCGCACGCTCGAAACGGAGTTCCAGGCGTAGACGGGATTTTCAGTATTGCCAGTGTGGTGTCGCAATTAGCCTCTTCTGTGTTACCGAAAACCGAGTTAGACATTTCGTCACGACAAGCGAGTTTTGACGAGCGACGAAGTCGCGACGAGACGAGACGAAGTTCTAGATTAGCGGCGAAGTTCGTTTCGACGAGCACGCAAGTGTAGCCGTAGTTGCTTCGGGGCTAAATCGAGACTCGATTATTTTAATTGAAAATTGACAAGATAACTCTCGCGATGCAGCCGCGCTCGTTTCGCCTGTATTCGAGATGAAATATCGAGGAAAATGGCAATTTTATTATATATTTCCCGTAAATCGAATTGTGAAATTCCACTTATCGAGTTTCAGTCATAAATCCAATTTCACGTTACAGCGAAATTCCGGAAATCGAGTTTCCGCGTATCCTGAATCACTCGCGACTAATTTCTCGATTTCGCGGCGGAACTTCTTACATCGACGACTTTCCAGCGAAACGCAGTTCCGCGCCGCGGACTCGCAGATCGTGCGTTGCGTCACGGACGATTACTAATCAGTCCGCTAATGCATCTATTTCGATTTATACCGTAACCGAGCGAATGAACGAGCGAAGTGAAGTCACCCGGCGTACGAAGCGGCGAAGTAAGGTAAAAGTACCAATTCCCGGGCGCGCGCAACTGATCCTAGGCATTCTTATTGCTTTTTGGTCTTTGAGACTACTGTGTCCTCGCCGGGGCCATCTTGATTAATGACGTCAGAAGCGAGAAATCGTATGTCCGAAATTCTTGTGGAATACGTCGAGACGAAGAAGTTATGTCGTGAAGAAGTTATGTTCATAAAATGACACTTGTGATCGATTGAACACATTTATCGAATATTCCAAATACTCTCCTTTTACTCTAACAACCAATAGACAATCGTAAAATTTACGAAATGAAGAAAGATAAGCGCTAAAAGAAAAACATGCATGTCATGTTAATTTTACAGTTATTTATAGAGTGTTAAAACAAGAAAGTTTTTGGAATATTTTACAGATGTGCTAAATCGATCCCAAGAATCACGGATATATCCTTTTACTTAGGTACTTGACTGGCCTTGAAATTTTGAACGTGCATTTTCTCGCTTCTGACGTTATCAATCGAGAGTTCCGCGCGACCAAGAACCTTAAATATAAATATTTAAACTTTCAATATATACGAAAAAAACAACCCTGTTGATGTAACTGAATTCTCCATTGCCTGGTAAAGACCAGATAGTCTCGCGTTGGATACTAATAATATATTATTTAAACTATTTATTTAAATCTAAATTCTTTTATATAAATAGAAGACACAATTACTTTTGTAAAAAATTAAGATTTTAAGAAAATGTGTATTTTATTTTTTAAATAGTATTTTATATAAGTAAATGTATTAGCACTTACTGAATATTTTTTTTATTTCTTAGATATGATTTCTCTCAGGATAGGAATAGAAAGATTCCTGTTGAACATTTCTCCTACAGAAACATCATTTCTCTTCGTTCCATATAGGCCCTATTCAGTTGCACGAACTGGAATTCTTTTCCGTGTAGAATACATGTATGTAATAAAACGTCCTAAAATAGAATGTCTGCCTGTATGTTTCCTTTGACTCCTAAATCCTTTAATCAATCTAGGTTAAATTTTGCATAGTTACTTTCTAGGATCCTGTAAAAAATAGACTACATAAAATAGACTACATAAAATCCAAATAACCCATCCTCTCCCTCTAATTTCATTCCCTCGATGTTTTGTGATAATTGAAGTTTCGATGTTCTAGATAAAAGATATCTGGGCAACGTAAGATAATTTAAGCTAGAGTTCGATATATACTTGTCGAACTCGTTGAGATTTGAAGACCAAAATAATGAGAAAGTCTAGAATTAGGTGCGTGCAGTACTTTTGCCATTGGTACCTTTGACCTCACTGGAAGACACGCGTTATCGTCGGCCTTGCTCTACTTCTAACTTTACCTTGTGCGCTCGCAGCGTCTTGCCCTCGCAGGCGAGCGTGACGTCGCAATAGGCCTGCCGCTCGAGCAGCTGCGAGAACATGGTCTGCAGGTTGCTGTGATGGTACTTCCATCTCAGGCAGTATTGCTGCGGGAACATGTTGGATGATGATGATGATGAGCTCGTCGTCACGGGTGGTGTCGTTGCTGCTACGGTACAGCCTCGTTGTTGAAGCATGCGCGGGTCCGGCACCGCGGCGAACTCCTCGACCGAGCCGGCCACCGTACTTCTTCCGGTTCACCGTACTCTCCTCGCCCACCTCCTCCACCTCCTCCTCCGTCCCGCCAACGTCTGCAACATCGTGTCAAAGGAGCCGTGAGGAGGGCAACCGCGACAACGGTAGCTTCGCAGCCGGACTCGTGCGAAATTTGACCACCAGCCCAGATCGGGGGAGACTTTGGTCGTGACTGTTGGGATGCTCGGTTAAAGAGTGCACCGCTATTTCGCGCGACGGTTTGTACAACAGACGGAAAAACCAGTTTGGTCGGGTTAACCAAATGTCGGGTGAAATATGAACGAATCAGAAATCCCGGTTGAACTTACCAGAATTCTGTCCAGTTTGACAAGATTTTTGGTTAACTTGAACAGAATTTTAGCAAGTTCAACCGGAATCTTTGCTCATATCTCACCAATTCGATTAATTTAACCAAGAAAGGTTTCTTCCGTGTAACAGCGCGTTCCTCACGCTATTCAATCAATTCGTGTTGAAGCGAGAGTGTTGGAGCCGAGCAGGCGTCAGTGAAACAAACACTTACGATATCGCACGGCCAGCAGTACGGAGTGCTAATCTGCAATTCCGACGAATTCGCGCGAATGGACTTTTCGTCGCAAAACACACGCTCACTGTGAGTATCATCCAACCGGTCATTGTCATGATATCGGGCCGAGCGGAAGTTTATCGTCAGCGAAGGAAGGGAAGCTCCGTCGTGAGTTGCCGGAGATAAGATGACTATACGCGTGAATGTTTGTCGCGCCGTATCGTTCCCGATAGAATGTTTGTACTTCACTTTTCGACGCTGAAGTGCCTCTCCCCGGCTCATAGAATTTCTATTCTATCTAGATCACACATTTGTCTTGTGTCAGGCGGAAACTCTCACAATTCCGGATATCCCGACCGGTCGTGTCTCTTGTGTGTACTCACTTTTCGCTGCTCGATGCGGGTTTCTCGGGTCCGATCAGACCGAGTAGAGTGCCGAGGGATGTTCGACCTTCCTCCGCCAAGACTTGTCGCTGCAACGGCTACGCATAAACCAGCGAGATCTTGGAAATCGGAAACCTCGGTTTCTTCGTCAACGCGTCTCCTCAACACCTGAAACATAAACGTGAGCGTGTGTTTTATTAACTTTGCCTCGTTTCGACGGGGGAAAGTCGATTAGCGCGCGACCGCGCGGGATTGACGTCGCGACACTGTACACAGTGAATCTCGTCGTGTACAGATGAGAGAGAGAGAGAGAGAGAGAGAGAGAGAGAGAGAGAAAGAGAAAGAGAGAGAAAGAGAGAGAAAAGAGAGAAAGAAAAAGAAGCGGCAGCGTACATTAGATCGGCGAGCGCGATTGGGCCGAATAGATTCGCGCGCGATGATAGAAACGTCGATACACGAGGGACACTCGATTCGCATTAGTTCCACTAACATAGCGCATTAAAAGTGACCGCTACGACGGCTACGATTTCGAACAGCGCGATCAATTTTCGATGAGGCAGGTAAATGTAGGGAAATGCACCTTCCGCCGATTGTCACGTTTCCGCCGTCGCAAATAAACACGGCGATCGTTTTCGCGCGTCCACCGCGTCGAAATGTGAGAGCTTAACAAAATTATATCGTGTGTCTTACTCCTCGCATCGTAAATCTCCGCAGGTCATTCCTTCCTATTTTCGTCTTCCGACACGTTCCGAGTTCCCGTTGATTCTCGTTTATATACGTATCAATCGCTGTTATGCACTGACAGTGTATTAGATGCCTGACGCACGCAAAGTGTCTCATATCTCGTGTACAATATGGATTAGGTGAAACTGAACGCAAAGTTCCTCTAGTATTTCGCAAACAACCACGTGAAATTTTGAGTTATTAAGTAAGGAAAATTGACGGACGATCGCGCGCGCGATAATGCAACAATGTTCTTCGATTAATAACTAAAAATCTACGTGGTTATTCGCAAAGCGACAGAGAACTTTTCTCTTCAGTTTGACCCAATCTGCAAGCGCGCGACGGCAGGAGTCGCTGCCGCAACTCATGTCGCGCGTGATCATTCGCCAATAATCTTAAATTGATAACTTAAAATTCTACATGGTTGTTTGTGAAACGGTAGAGAAATTTGTCTGTTCAGTTCGAGCATGCGTTTTTCCTTAATCTTTTACAATTAATTTCTCGGTTATTATTGCGAATATCGCAAAACGGTTTATCTCAACCCATTCTATATTCCCACAAAATATGCGGAGGAGAGTCTGGGACACCCTGTATATACTGGCGGGTGAGTTAATTCCTCTTCCCAACATTCCCGAAGAGAGAATAGCGTGCGTTTTATTAGATTGGTCCGCGCGCGCGCGCGGCAGCCACGGTGTTGGCCGTTTACGCTGCGAATTCCCCCGCGAGAGTTAAACGAACAAACCGGCGGACTCGGGCAGAACGACATAAGAAATTCAAGAGTTTTATCGGCCGGACGGATCCTTTCTGCCGTGTCAACGCTCGTCGATTACGAGGATGACGGCGCGCCGGCTAACGATGCCCGGCAATTACTGCTAAATCGATTGTCGGTCGCGGCGCTGTATGTATGTGCTCTTCCCTCTTTCTTCGTATTTTCTTCTTTTTCGGTTTGGCAAGAAAATTTGCTCTATATAATAATACGAACGGAGAAACTATCTCTCCAGTGGCGAGAGACTAGCGCCGGCGGCGGCGGCGGCGAATAACGACCGGAGCTTTCACTGACTCGCGTTCTCCGCGAGAATTTTCGATAGCTCCTTTTGCCTCCCTGCGGCCCGACGAACTTTCACGGGAAGGACGAAAGTAAATCCTTTATTCGTGCCGAGCAGCGTCGCAGTCTCTCGCCCTTAATCCCCTCAGTGAAGATCGAGCACGGCTGAGGTCGATTGTTATAATTCTCGAGGAATTAAGCCGGTCGTCGCGAAAACCGTGTATTAAGACTAATATTTTGTAAGAGGATGAAAATTGCGAGGGGCAGAGAAAAGGACTAATCGCTTTGCCGACCACCAGGAAGCCTTTCGTCGCGTCTTCCCGAAAATCGCAATTCGCAAATGCACATTCGCAATTCGACCGGCGCCCCACACCCACCCATCTTTCCGACTTTTGCTGGTCTGACTCACGCGACCCCCTTCCTCAGGACCGAAAATATATCGCTGACGATTTTTGGTCGCATCTCAAGGTCGACACGCGGTCGTTCGCAATTTCGCATCGCGTCGTCGGCGACGAGAGAAGGACTTCGCTGAGGGGACAAAAAGGGGAACGACGAGGCCAGTCACGTTCGATAGACCTCGAGATAACGACCGGCCGATATCGTGGTCGCGACTCACTTCTGCCTTCGAGGGTAAATAGAAAGAACGTCCGAGGACTATCAATTTTTAAGTATCGTTCACATACGGATTAGTGCGGACGCGCCACAGAGATATTGCGTGTGTGTGTAGTTCTCGGCTTACGATTCCAATCTACCGTAATTCGATCTTCGCGTTAACTATTCGTGTAGGTCGAAGTGCCTACACACGCGCTCGCGCGCGAATGAGATACATTTCGAAAGGTGAGCGCGCCAAGTTTCGCAAATGTGCTCCTTTTATTCCGTACAGGAAGCCTCGCGCGATGATTCCCGATCGATGTAGACGGTATCTATGTAAAATGCAGCCATGATAGTACAACTAAATCCCGTGTGAACGACACTTAACTCCACTTCTTGCCGTATCGATTAGCATAAATATCAGGAGTGACACGTTGCAAACGGACACCGGGCGAGGTATCGACAGACGCCTGCCGTCGTCGTCTTCCTCATCGTTGTTTCCGCCGTCTTTGTCGTCATCGTCATCATCGTCATCATTGTCGGCGTTGTAATTAAAACATTCGCGATCAACCATTGTAACCGATAACGAAAGCCGATTAGGACTAATTTGTGGGAACTTGATTCTGTAAATCCAAGCAAATTCCGCAAAATCGCGAAAACCTATCGTCATCCTTGTCGAGAGCTTCGTTAACGGAGTGCATTTACCCCCGCGGCATCCTGTTGCATTTTGCGCAACACGTATAACGTTCGTACACGTTGTTTACACAATTTTAATAGTTCATGAGGCATTTTGACATGTGTGTGTGTGAGTGGGTGTATGTGTTGTTACGAAACGATGAAAATCCAAAAATACAAAGAAGGCAACAATGAACGATTGTTTTGCGATTTAATTGTAGAGAGAAAGGTATTCCGTAATCGAATGTACATATTTTTTTTTTCGAAGTAACGAGGTATTTTACGAAGCATTAACTGCAAATGACACGTTGTTTCATTTCATTTTCTCGTTTTTCCATTATGGAAAAACGAGAAAAAACAATATGCGCAAAATACGTTCCTTTCCAGCATTCGTCTGGAAAATAGAGGAAAAAAAGAGTGGGGCGGAAAACCGGTCGCCTCGCTTCGCTTCGCTCCCCGTTTACCGTGTCATTCGTATAATTTTCTACGGTATTTTGAAACGCGTGTATCCTTCCGCAAAAGGACGAGAAAAAGGGAGAAAGAGAAAGAGAGGGAGAGAAAGGGAGAGAAAGAGAGAGAGAGAGAGAGAGAGAGAGAGAGAGAGAGAGAGAGGCGCGCAAAAGGACCAATGTAGATATGTGCTCCGAAAATTAAATCCGCAGCGAGAAAAAATGTGGTCACTTTACATTTACATGCCCCCGCGTAATTCCCTCCCGGCCAGGAAAACAGCGCGCGCGGCGACGTCGATCAACACTGACGGAGAGAATCGCCGGAATGTTAATTCGCCGAGCGCGGCAACGAACGGCGCGCATTATTGAGCGACGAGACCGTCGCGATAATTCGTCGATTACGGCCCAGCGTTTGTCCCGACGACGACGAAACGGGGAACGCGAAAGTCTGTGCATGTATGTGCGTGCGTACGTGCGTGTGTGCGCTCTCGTGAAGGAGAGGCGAACGACTTTAGAGAGACGAGATGCTCGGCGCGCAGGCGAAAGTCATAAAAATATAATTGCCGCGCGACTATGGAGAGAAGAGAATACATGTCCCCGTGCGACGTCTCGCGCGGAATTAAGACGCGACTCCGGTCTTCAGATAGCCGCTGTGGCACGGCCGTTCCGCACGGACGGGGTCGGCACTTGGCCGAGCAGAAATGTAACTGTGATCCAAAAGCTAATAGCACCTAGCTCTAGCTAAATCAAATTCTCTAGCTCGCTACTAATTCGTTACTGGCTGATTATTCGCCGAAGTGTAGAATCGAGTTTGTAGTCTAGACTTTGTCTAGCAATTACATATCGAGTATGATTGAATAGATGTGGCACTGTCTATTCCAAAATATATATTTCAACTACTATATCACTACTAGCACTTCAAAGAGTCAGATAGCACGTAAAAATGGAGGTTACGTGAATATCATGAAATTTTCAAAAAAGAAAAAAACAAATTGAGCGTTATTGCTAGTTAGCAACTATTTGCCGTTTTTCATGTCATAACTGTAATTTCGTTTGCTTGATCGTTAACTAACTTATTTATCTAGCCATTAAAAGAAGCGAGTGTCACATTACCGGCTAAATAATGACGTTAAACAGAAATTTACTAGACTGGCTAGACACCGACGAGGTTCAATTTCTACCAGGCTGTGTTCGATGCCGCGAGTCAATCGAATAATGCCCGGTGATACCCACATAATCTCCCGTTTACTTTCTCCGGATAATGATAATAATAATAACGATGATAATAACGCGAAAACACTCATTAGGGACACGAGCCTCGTTGCACGGGTCGTGGGAAAGTGGTTTCACGTCGTCGCCGCGATACTATTTCGCTCCGCAACCTCGATATCATTTTCTATTCTATTTTCAAATGCCAGATTCTCCCATAGTGTGCCACGAAAATTTCGATAGGTTAGCTCTGACGTCATACACCTGTGTCGCAAAACAGGCGAGCCGATGCCGCCGCCGCCGCCGCCAGTCCGTCTTAATGACGGCGTTGTTTTCCACCTGACTGGCCGGATATCGGGGGTCTTTGTCGTGATTCGGGGAGGGCAGCTGAGAGGGACATAGGACGCACCAGCGATCGCAGATATTCAGGCTTCAGCGCCGTGCAAATGCGAGGAGCAACGCGCGCGGCTTCCCTC